TATGTGACGTTTATCCACCTGATACTTTTATGCAGGCCTGGAAAGTAGGATATTGCGGAAAGTGTTGTGACAGAATTTATTCTACTCCGTGTTTCACACAGGCCCCAGCAAAGTGGGACAGTGCTGCAACTGTGTACACTTTTCGGTCAGGTTTCCCCAATCAGATTATTAGTCATGGGAAAATCTTCCCTCTTATCAGGACTTCTTTCACACAGAGACCTGGCAAAATTTCCCCAAACGTTTTCCAATTGTTTTTTTTTTAAAATTCCTCTGTGCACGCACATGTCCAGGAACTCACGACCACACTTCAACACCGTCTTCGCCAATCACATCTACAAAGTCCTCAAAGTGGCCAAAGATGCCAGATAACGGCACTCAACGTCTTTTGCTTTTGAACTTCCCCGTTTACCAATGGAAGCCTTATTTTTTATTTTATTATTATTTTTTTTTGTAGTAGTAGCCTTTTTTTGGGGGGGAGGGTACAAAATTCCCAGTAAAAAATGTGATAGATTATGTGTCGTTTATCCACCTGATACTTTTATGCAGGCCTGGAAAGTAGGATATTGCGGAAAGTGTTGTGACAGAATTTATTCTACTCCGTGTTTCACACAGGCCCCAGCAAAGTGGGACAGTGCTGCAACTGTGTACACTTTTCGGTCAGGTTTCCCCAATCAGATTATTAGTCATGGGAAAATCTTCCCTCTTATCAGGACTTCTTTCACACAGAGACCTGGCAAAATTTCCCCAAACGTTTTCCAATTGTTTTTTTTTTAATGTAGAAAGAGGGACATTGCCAGGAATTTAGCGCATTGGAGCAACACAGTATTCATTCACCAGTATCTTTCACACAGAACCCAGCAAATCAGGACATTGTTGGGTCCCACAGTTGGACAAATGGAGAAGTATTACAGGAGGCAGTTTCACACAGGAATCCAATGGCGCTTTCTTTTATGTAAAACCTTTTCCCGTTGTATTCATTTGCCAGTGTCTTTTCACACACAATCCAGTAGAACGAATCATTGTCATCAACAAATTCATTTTGGTTACACTTCAGACACTACCTCGGAATCTGTGTGAAGGGGGATACTACCGCCGGCATCGACGCTTTGTACAGTGTTGCTGTCGTAATTGACTATTTTTATATAACTTATTTGCAGGCTTTTTTGGAAGAAAGTTCATATGTTTTATGGAGGAATATGGCATGTAATACCTGTCATGACATTTTAGGCTAGTTATTAGGACAGCTGCACCTTGTTCAGTTTAGTTTTGTGTTGTAAAAAGTATTGTTTTTAGCCTCTCACACTGCCAAAATAACTGTAGCGGATAATCACACCCTAACAGTAGCAGTGTATGGGAAAAGCAAAGGTCACGAAAATATGAAGCTCAGTTGACGTCAAGATGAATTTAGCATGGTTTAGTGTTTCAGTAACAAGCTAAACGGGAAGCCCTGATGTGCCAAAGGGAGCTCTTGAACAAAAAAAAAATATATATATATATTAGAGATTTTTCTATGAATATTTTCAATAATTTCTAATGTGTTTTATGGTTCTTGCTGGCTATCCGTGTTGTTCGTGTTTTATATTTGTTTTGTATTGAAATAAAGGGTACAATTTATTTATTTTGTCTAGATTGCGTTCATTATTTTACAATAGTATTCATAATTTAAGGTTTATGTAAGTTTTGTTAGCAAAAACAATTTTAGGTTATTTATTACTTCAAAAGTCAAGTGTCGGTCACCAACTCTGGTCCTCTGGTTTGATAGTTGTCAATAAGTTTCATGGAGGACTCGGCTGATATTACCGTATTTACTCTCCAGAAGAGGAAAAAATGGTCCTTAAATGTCAAACTTGAACGACTGTAATATTCTAATAATGGGTGGTGCGTGATTTGTTGGCACGAACATTTAATATACAGTAGCCTGCAATTACTTTTAAGATGTGACTATTTTTATATAACTTATTTGCAGGCTTTTTTGGAAGAAAGTTCATATGTTTTATGGAGGAATATGGCATGCAATACCTGTCATGACATTTTAGGCTAGTTATTAGGACAGCTGCACCTTGTTCAGTTTAGTTTTGTGTTGTAAAAAGTATTGTTTTTAGCCTCTCACACTGCCAAAATAACTGTAGCGGATAATCACACCCTAACAGTAGCAGTGTATGGGAAAAGCAAAGGTCACGAAAATATGAAGCTCAGTTGACGTCAAGATGAATTTAGCATAGTTTAGCGTTTCAGTCAGAAGCTAAACGGGAAGCCCCGATGTGCCAAAGGGAGCTCTTGAACAAAATTATTATATA